CCTGCATACCTGGTATAAATCCCACTTGATCATGGTGAATTATTTTTTTGATATGTTGCTGAATTCTATTGGCTAGAATTTTGTTGAGGATTTTTGCGTCCAATGTTCATGAGGGATATTGGCCTGTAATTTTCTTTTTTTGTCGTGTCTTTACCTGGTTTTGGTATCAGGGTTATGCTGGCCTCATAGAATGAGTTTGGGAGTATTCCATCCTTTTCTATGCTCTGAAATACCTTTGGTAGAAGTGGTGTTATCTCTTCTCTGAAAGTTTTATAGAATTCTCCAGTGAAGCCATCCAGGCCAGGGCTTTTTTTTTTGTTGGGAGGGGGCAGAGGGTTTTAATGCCTAATGGTTGTAGGGTCTATGAGTCAGAATTGACTTGATGGCAGTGGGTTTGGGTTTTAATGGCTAATGAAAGAGCCCTGGTGGTGCAGTGGTTAAAAGCTCAGCTGCTAACAGAAAGGTTAGGGGTTCAAACTCACTACATGCTCTGTGGGCAAAAGATGTGGCAGTCGGTTTCCGTAAAGATTACAGCCTTGGAAACCCTATGGGGCAGTTATACTCTGTCCTATAGCGTCGCTATGATTCAGAGTTGACTCGGCACACAGCAATAGCTAACGACGTTGAGCATCTTTTCCTGTGTTTTTGGCCGTTTGTATCTCTTCTTTGGAGAAATTGCAGTTCAAATATTTTGTCCATTTTTAATTGGATTACTCGTCCTTTTTAGCGTTGAATCCTTATTTTTTTAGAGGACATAAAAGGAGAGGGCAGTGGTTTAAGCAGCGGGAAGAGAGATTTAGATTGCCGTTTCTAGCATAGTTTCCCAGCTGAGACTAGTGAACGCGTGGCGCACAGACTGCGGAGTGATGGTGCTTTAAAAGGATACAGTGCCTGTGCACGAGGTAGGTGGAGGACTTACTCAGAAGTAAGTTGTGTTCTAAATGATTCCTCAAAGACTCCGGCTCAGGGAAACTTATTCACAGAGGTTTCGGTGGTGGCAGTTTTTTGGTGTGTTTTTGCTTTTTAAAGAAACATTTGCTTAAGCATTGGGCATCAGGAGGTCTGTATGGCTCTGTCCTTAGTGAATTGGGGGCTTGGCAGGTACTCCCCTTTGGTTCATTGTGACTGAACATTTAAGTGTGCTGTCTCCCGTCCCTTGCTGAACAGCAGCTGGGACTTGCCTCCCTCCCCACTGCATCTGGGCCAGCAAAAGCCAGTTACCGGTGGGACTCCCAGGGGAGGGGTGCCTTGGAGTAACTTTCCTCTGTGCTCCCCTAACAGGCAGATGACGTTTCTGAACCAGATGATGCCTGAGGAGCCTTCATAGCTCTAAGCTATTAGGAGAGTAAAACTGCCAGGCCTGGGACTGCTGAGCCTTGCCCTGCCTCTCAACACAATGTCAGGTAGAAGCAGATGGCGTCGAGGCCCCCAGACACTGTGGGGTGAGAGGGTGGGGGCAGGGGAGGCTCTTACCCAGGAGGACCCACCAAGTGGATGGAACCTGCTAGTTTGATACCTTTGCTGGTTGAATAGACCATCCAAATAAAAGAGACGGAGAAAGAGGAGGAAAACTTGGTTGCCTGGGAAGGTGACTAAAGCATCTTTCCCAGCTCAGCACTCCTGTATTCCTGAATCTCTGCCCTCTTCCCTCCATCCTGCAAATCCTCACTCTTTGTTGAGGATTTAATGGGAGTGGAGGAAAAGGGAAGGAGATGAAGTCTGGTCATGTTCTGTAGCATGCCCCTTTTTCTTTTCCTTTCCCCACAGAGTTGTCGGTGTCTGGGAGGTTTCTTCCCCTCTCTCTGCCCATCCTGCTTCCATGGTCCAGTCCTTTAATACTGGAACTTGGGGCGAGAGGGAGTATTCTGACTTGAATTTTGTTTCTGAATGCTCTACCTTTTCTTGATTGTTCTCCTGTGCCTGTTCATCTTGGATTCTAGGAAGCCACACACCTGCTGGTGGCCCCTTCTCAGCGCTGACCCCGAGCATACGGCCCCAGGAGATCCTGGCCAAGTGCACACAGGTAGGGCAGTTCACCTACCAGACTCACCCGCCATGCTCCCAGGCTGTGGCACTGAAGGGGACCCGCCGCTGCAGGTTCCCAGGAGTGGTGGTGCACTCCGCCATGTTCACACAGGGGCAAGGGCCACCACCAGAGATGGCGTTGTGGCACCAAGTACCTAATGATTCCTAGAGTCGTGAGGTTGGAGGAAAAGTATTACTGTTCGCCAAAGTTCCTCTCAGAAACACTTTCTCCTGAAGGAAGTATTACCCAGACTAGGCTGCCCCTAGTCTCTTCTCGGACACTACCACTGCAAACATAATTAGCCCCATTTCTTTATATAAAACAATAAACCAAAGGGAACTTTAGCCTTACTGGTACTTGTATAATTAAAATTTATTTTAGAATTTTATAATTGGAGGAAAATAAACTATTCCAAAAAGGATTTGAGCTATATGCTCAGATGACAGCACGTTATCTTTAAGTCTTATCCTGCACCCATCTCCCCAGGTCACATGCTGTGATTGGGAGGGGAGTGCGTCCTCTCAGGGCTCACATGTCAGGACTGTGTTAACACATTAAGTGACTATACTCATCTACAGATATTTTTACATGTTCCCTATTTTCAAGGCACTCTGCTCATTTTTCTGGGATACACAGAAATGCATAAAACATGTCTCTTGCCTTGAGCCACGAGAAGAACAAGGCAAAGGCTAGGAGAGTTCAGAGGAGGTAGCAGCCCCTGTAGCTGAGGGACGACCAAAGAAGGCTTTATAGAAGGGCGGGTGTGCCTTAGATCAGAGCCTTGAAGGTGGGCAGATTTCCAGCAGGCAGAGTGTGGGTGGTGTGTTCCAGAACCTGTGCCCTGTGCAGCCCCACCATGGGCCCAGACAGGGAACAGACCACTCTCTTCCTAATCCTGGTTCTAGAAGGAAGACTCAGTGGAGCAGCCAGAGTTCCACTACGATGAGTTTGGTTTCCGCGTGGACAAGGAAGGTAAGGACGGCTGTCCTTGGGGAAGACTCGTGCCAATGACTCTCACCCCCAGAGTGTGACGACCCCTGGACAGCATCTGAAGGCGGTGTTGTTACAAGTGTATAGGGACCTCTGACTGCTTTGAGATAAGTTTTATTGATCTCTATCTGATAATAAGAGTGATAATGTTCATGGTGGAGAAGCTGGAAAATACAGAGAAGTATAAAGATTAAAACAAAATTAACCCATAATCCCACAACCTGAAAATAACTGCTGACAATCTGGCTGTGTTGTGTGTGTGTGTCTATTATATATATTTTTCATAACTAAGATTTTATTGTTTACACGTTTTTATATTGCTCTTGTATCACTTAACATACCATGGGCATTTTCCCATGTTGGCTAAAATCACTTTAGTACAACTTCAGTGGCTTTCAATGGCTGCATAATGTCCCATTATAATGGGTTTATCGTATGGTTTTATAACCATTTTCCCATAAGTGGACCTCTGGGTCGTTTCCGTTGTTTTCTACTATAAATAGAGTGGCCTATTGGGAAGCCGTCTGCCGGAACCCAGGGTAGCCTGTCACCAGGATGTAATCAGGACTAGAGCATGTTAACTGGTTGAAACCAATCAGCCTCCGGTCTCTCAGATTTCCAGTTCTGGCATAAATTGCCCTTTTTCTTCTAGTTTGCAGGCAGATAGTTGGAGGTTACACGCTGGGGATGAGAGGGACCAAGGGAACTGTCTAGCACAATTCTGTGTTGTGATGGAGACAAGGGTTATACATTTGTATGTTTATTGATGCTCGTCATGGTGTACATTTACAATGTGTGCATTTTATGGTATGCAAATGCATTAAAGTTGACATTTGAACAAGGCTTGGCTTTAGGCTGAATGAGGATGAGGTTTGCTGTGGGGCGAACCCACACAGAGATGGCTGGGTTGCAGAGGAGAGCCTTGTCCTGGTTCATTCCACAGGTAGCTCATGGCAGCCAGCTGTGGGCTGTGCACTGTTTGCTGCACTATCCACAGGGCCTCAGACAAAACAGAAGGCAGCCTTGGCCCTGTGGAGTTCCCATTCTACTGGGGGAGATGGGCAGTAAACAACAAACACATCTGTAATATGTGGGGGGCAAGAAGAGCTATGAAGAGAGTTAGGGGGCTAGGGAAGAGGGGAGGTGGGATTTTATGTCAGGTGGTCAAAGAAAGTTCTCGGAGAAGAAGCCATCTGAACAGAGACTGGAAGGAGGCGAGGGAGGGAGGGAGCGAGTCTGGGGGAGGGGAATACTCAGTGCAAAGGCCCTGCGGTGGAAGTGGGTGGGCATGGTGGGGAATAGCAAGAAGGCCATGTCACTGGAGTGGAGGGAGCCAAGGATGGGGCAGGAGCTGAGGACAGAGAGGAGGATTTGTGGAGCCTTGTAGGCCTTTGGCTCTGATCTGAGTGAGGCGGCACCACTAGAACCTCTAAGCAGTGACGTGGCCTGGGCCGCCCTGTGTGGAGAGTAGCGTTTAGTGGGGCTGAGTGATCCAAATGACAGATGATGGCTTGGACAAGGGGAGAGGTGATCAGAAGTGGCCAGAGGTTCTGCAGGAAAAGCCAGCAGGGTTTGCTGATGGATGGGGTGTAAGTGATGGAAGAGCCAGAGATGATGCCCAAGTTCAGGCCTGCGCATTGGAGGATGAGGTGGTGTTCGCAGGAGTGGGCAGGTGTGGGGCAAGAGGGGAGGGTTCAGTTGCAGGTAGGAGGCCTGCATGGTGTGCACTGGAGCCGTCAGGTAAGCGCAGAAAGGTGAGTCTGGACTTGGGGGAGGGTCTGGGCTGTGGCTTTAATGCCCAAGCCCTCTGAGGCCAGATGGTGGCTGCATTGAAGGATGTGACACTTCCTCCCTGTGTCATCCTCGTGTCCCACAGACGCTGACCCCAGCTCCAGCAGGCTCCTGGGTTCCTCGCTGTTGGAGGAGCCTCAGCAGACACTGAAGTGGCAGGCCCACCTGGAGTTCACCCACAACCACGACGTGGGGGACCTCACCTGGGACAAGATCGCAGTCTCCCTGCCCCGCTCGGAGAAGCTGCGCTCCCTGGTGCTGGCTGGCATCCCCCACAGCATGAGGCCACAGGTGGGGTGGCCTTGGAGCCAGAGTGGGGGGAGGTGGCCAGGCTCAGGGTCACAGGAAAGCTGAGTGCTGGCTCCTCCCCAGCTGTGGATGCGGCTCTCAGGGGCCCTGCAGAAGCAGCACAGCTCCGAGCTGTCATACCGTGAGATGGTGAAGAACAGCTCCAACGACGAGACCATTGCTGCCAAGCAGGTGAGGCCGGGACTGCACTCAGGTCAGTTCATGGGGAGCAGCCTGCAGGGGGTGCTGGCCTGCCGGGTTCCTGGGGGATCACTCCTGGGTCTGGTGGCCCTTCCTTGGCAGGGGTGAACGGGAGAGCACTCGCACTCCTGGGCCTCAGGGTGTTAGCTGTGCGCAGCCAGAGAAGCCCTTTCACCCATGTGTGGAGTAAGCTGGCTTCCTCCTGGGTCCTCTGTAGACCACAGGGAGAATTGTCTCAAAGGCCACCAGTGCTGTGGAAGGACATGGAGGAGACCGGGTCCCAAACCTGGGTATACATGAGGCCAGTTAGGGAGGATTTTAAATACATATTTCCAGGCCTCATCTAGAGAGTCTCATTCAGTACCCTGGTGGCGCGGTGGTTAAGTGCTTGGTTGCTAACTGAAAGGTTGGCGGTTCAAGCCCACCAGCTGCTCTGGGAGAAAGATGTGTCAGACTGCTTCTGTAAAGATTACAGCCTTGGAAACCCTGTGGGGCAGTTCTACTCTGTCTTATAGGTTCTGTGTGAGTCGGAATCGACTCAGCGGCACCCAACAACAATAACAAGGTCTGGCGTGAGGCCCAGGAATCTATTTTAAAGTTCGAGTGAATGTGGTGGTGGGCCACACACTAGCTGAGATCAAGTCCTGAAGGGAGGAGGGTAACTTGAGCATAAGACATCTCCACCCCTGGAGAGACACCTGCAGGGGCTTTGCCTCCCTCACGGGTGTCTCAGGGCAGCAGTAGAGTCCAGAGGGTGTCAGGGACACCCTCCTCAGGCTGCCACTGGGTCTCACTGGCCTGTGGGGTGGGATGCGGTGTGGCTGCCCAACAGATAGAGAAGGACCTGCTCCGCACCATGCCCGGCAACGCCTGCTTTGCCAACGTGAGCAGCATCGGGGTGCCACGCCTGCGCAGGATCCTCCGGGCCCTGGCCTGGCTCTACCCCGAGATCGGCTACTGCCAGGGCACCGGCATGGTGAGCACAGCCAGCGTGAAGCAGGGTGAGGGGCACGGGCATGGTGAACACGGCTGTGGATGCAGCCTGGCAGGGGACATGGGTGTGGTGAGCATGGCAGGGGGCATGCTGGGCAGGGGAAGGGTGCTCCTCTGATGCCACCCTCAAGGTAAGGATTAGGGGACAGGCCTGGGGGCTGAGGTTCAGCCAGGGCTCCTCTGGGCAAGCAGAGAGCCGAGGAAGGCCACGTATCATCTGTCTGCCCGGAGAGGCATGGGGGGGTGCCCTCTCTAATTCGGATGAAAACTTGGTTAGAGGCCCTGTCCCCTCCCCTCCTCGGCAAGGTGGCCGCCTGTCTCCTGCTGTTCCTGGAGGAGGAGGATGCTTTCTGGATGATGTGTGCCATCGTTGAGGACCTGCTGCCTGCCTCCTACTTCAGCACGACCCTACTAGGCGTCCAGACAGACCAGCGCGTCCTGCGCCACCTCATCGTCCAGTACCTGCCTCGGCTAGACAAGCTGCTCCAGGAACACGACATTGGTACAGGGACTGCTTCACCCTCTTCTCAGGGGCCGGGGGTCTGGAGACGGGTTCAGATTCTGAAGACCTGGGGCCTGGACAGTCAGCAGAGGACAAGGCCCTTGCAACTGCTGGCTGGGTGCGGCACAGCCATGCACACTGTTTGCTGCCATTTTCTTCTCTGACGTTCCCTGACACTCTGTCCTCCTCTCCTGTCTGAGCAGACAAGGCCTCTTGCTGCGCTGGGGGTGTCCTCAACCTCCTCCCCAGGTTGAGGGTCTGGTCCCAGCCCTTCTCTCTGGCTGTCCCTGGTCCCACCCTTCTCTCGAGCTGTCTCTGGTCCCAGCCCGCGTGCGGTTGTGTCCACAGAGCTGTCCTTGATCACGCTGCACTGGTTCCTCACGGCCTTCGCCAGCGTGGTGCCCCTCAGGCTACTGCTGCGCATCTGGGACCTGTTCTTCTATGAGGGCTCCCTGGTGCTGTTCCAGACCACGCTAGGCATGCTGCGCCTCAAGGTGCCTGGCCCTGCGAGTCAGGGACGCTGTCCTGCTGTCCCTCCTGGGTGGACGTGGTAGGATCTAAGCCCCAAGCCCTGTGGCAGAGGAGACCTTCCCATTTTGCCCACACACCTCCGCTCTGGCCAGTCTTCAGCACGGTGTGGTCCCAGGCCCCCAATGGTGGGACCACAGGGGCAGGTCTCTGAGGATGGTCGTTGGGGCCACTGGGGGGGTGGGGGGCTGCAGCCTGGCAGTGACAGTCCCCTGTCTGTCCTCACATGGCCCAGGAGGAGGAGCTGATTCAGTCAGAGAACTCGGCCTCCATCTTCAACACACTGTCGGACATCCCATCGCAGATCGAAGATGCAGAGCTGCTGCTGGGGGTGGCCATGCAGCTGGCTGGCTCCCTCACGGACATGGCTGTGGAGACCCAGCGCCGCAAGCACCTGGCCTACCTCATTGCAGACCAGGGCCAGCTCCTGGGGACCAGCACCACCACCAACCTCTCGCAGGTGGGCCATGAGGGAGGAGGCCACCACGGCCACTGTGAGAAGTCCATGTGAGAGAGGCTGTGAAAGCTGACTGGCCCTTCCTCACTCTGCCACCCCACTCCACCCTGCTCAGCACCTCCAGCCCCACGGGGCCCAGTGCAACCACACTGGGCTGCAGGCCCAGTACTCCTGGGGCTCCGTGCCCTGGCCCCAGCTGGCATGGTGGGAGTCAGACCCAGCTCTGAGCCAACTGCACGCTGTGACCCTCAGGCCCTGCCTTGTGGATGAGGCAGCAAGAGTGAACGCTGCCCCCGGGGCTGCCACGTTGGGGCACTATAGCTGTTGGCTTCTTCTGGGCTGAGAAGCCCTCAGCTCGACTGGTGCCAGGCACCCAGGGATCCACTGAGATGCTCTCCCTGCCCACAGGTGGTTCGACGCAGAGCCCAGCGCAGGAAGTCGGGTATCACCTCCCTGCTCTTTGGTGAGGACAGGCAGCAGATGGGGGTGGGGTGCAGGCCCAGGTGTGGTCTGTCATCCCACATGCCAGGGGGTGCAGCTCAGAGGGCAGGGGATGTGCAGAAGGAGGGTCCAGGCAGGGACCATGATCGCCACAGCCCTACCGCCCCCCAGGGGAGGATGACCTGGAGGCACTCAAGGCCAAGAACATCAAGCAGACGGAGCTGGTGGCCGACCTGCGGGAAGCAGTCCTGCGCGTGGCACGCCATTTCCAGTGTACAGACCCCAAAAACTGTAGTGTGGTGAGTAGCGGGCACCCGCCCGTTCCCCCAGCGAGCTGTGTGCTCCCCAGGTCTTCCGTGAATGGCCCACTCTGGGGGCCGAGGTCCGGGCTGGGGGGCCTTTCTGTCCCCACACTGCTTTGGCCCTCCCTGGCAGGAGCTGACCCCAGACTATAGCATGGAGAGCCACCAGCGGGACCATGAGAACTACGTGGCATGTTCGCGCAGCCACCGGCGCCGCGCCAAGGCCCTGCTGGACTTTGAGCGGCACGACGACGATGAACTGGGCTTCCGCAAGAACGACATCATCACAGTATGTGGGGATGTGGCTCAGGGACTGTCCCCAACCCGACACACTGCCCTGCTGCAACCCCAGGTCAGCCACGGAGCTGGTGGTTGGGAGCAGGCATCAGCGCCGCCACCTGCCACAGTCACTCCTACCCCTTTCCCTGCTGAGAGCTCCCGCTTCTGGAAAATGGGGGATCTGGGCCAGCAGAGTTGTGAGAGGGAATCAGATTGTGTGAGAGGTGCCAGCCCAGAGAAAGCCGAGTTCTGTCCACTGTCTCCTCTGCAGATCATTTCCCAGAAGGACGAACACTGCTGGGTCGGGGAGCTCAACGGCCTGCGAGGTGAGTGCGGCTGCTCTAGAGGTGCAGGGGTGGGGGGCGGCTGCATAGCGGACCGGGCGCTCTGGCGTCCAGCCATCTGGTGTGGTGGGGAGGGGACGGAGTGTAGCCTTAGATGCGTCCCTCTCCTCCCGTGTTGTGAGCCGCTCCCCTCCTGGAGGCCCACACCCCCTGGCCTCAGCAGGATCCGAGCCCTCTGTCCCAGTTGGCCTGCAGGGACCACATGGCTCTGCCGCTCAGCCCTGATGCTGCAGCAGGGCTGGGGTCAGTACAGCTCCTCTTGGGGCCTGCTTCTCTCACAGGCTGGTTTCCAGCCAAGTTTGTGGAAGTCCTGGATGAGCGGAGCAAAGAGGTAAGGGGGGCATGCCATCCCTGGGGGGGTGCCCTGCCTGGACCCCTCAAGGCCCACCGCCCTCCTAGCAGGAACGTGTCCCAAGAGTCCCAGCTTGTGGGCAGTGGCTGAGAGGACAGGGTGGGGCTGGACTTCTCAGACCCATTCCCCCCTAGTACTCCATTGCGGGGGACGACTCTGTGACCGAAGGCATCACGGACCTCGTACGGGGGACCCTCTGCCCGGCCCTCAAGGCTTTGTTTGAACACGGGCTGAAGAAGCCGTCCCTGCTGGGTGGTGCCTGCCACCCCTGGCTGTTTATCGAGGAGGTAAGTCAGGGCTGGGTCCTGTGTCCCTGTCCCTTTTCCCAGGGTTCCTGCCCTGGATGTCCCTGCACATCCCTTCCCAGGCCCTTGCTGCCCTGGGCCCTGCAGAGCTGGCAGGAGGGGACGTTGTGGGTGGCCATGCCTGCTTAGTTGGGCGCACCTGCCTGCCTCTGACGTATGGCCTGTCCCCACAGGCAGCGGGCCGGGAGGTCGAGAGAGACTTCAACTCGGTGTACTCCCGCCTGGTGCTCTGTAAGACATACCGGTAAGCTGCACACCGTCCTGGGGGAAGCCCGGCCCAGCTTGCGGGGCAGCACTGGGAGCTGTGGTCCTGCCTGCCCTCCCTCCCTCAGGTTGGACGAAGACGGCAAAGTCCTGACCCCAGAGGAGCTGCTTTATCGGGTAAGGGGGCCATGGGCGGGGCCTCCCTGGGCAGGCTCGACCTCCTCAGGCAGGGGGACACCTGAGTGACAGCCCGCGCCCCCAGGCCGTGCAGTCAGTGAACATGACCCATGATGCAGTGCATGCCCAGATGGATGTGAAGCTCCGCTCCCTCGTCTGCGTGGGGCTCAAGTGAGTGTCTGCGCTGCCATCCTCTGGGGCCAGCCGGCAGCACTGTGCAGCCAGCCCCTGGGGGGAGGAAGGCGGGCACCCTGAGCCCCGACAGGGCGGGCACTGGAGCAGATGCAGAGTGGTGTCAGCAAGACGCCAGAGGTTCCCCAGGGCAGGCCAGGGTTGCTTTGTGGCCCTCGGGGGGTTTGGGAAGCCCGTGTCGTCACAAGCTGACCATGTAGGTATCCCCAGAAATGAGGCTGTTAAACCAGCGGGGGCAGGGTGAGGAGCTGCCCCGGGCGGGGGACAGGCGTTGTGAGGTGGGACCTGTGAGGGCTGCTTTAATGTGGGGACAGACGGATGGGTGGGAAGCTTGCAGAGGAGCAGGAGTTCCCCAGGAGAGCAGCTTGGCACAGGCCGGACAGTCCACAGTGCTGGGGCAGGGGCGTCAGACAGAGAGGCAGTGCCTGGCAGGGACGCCTGTTGCCGAGGGCTGGGATGGGGCCAGGACAGTGGCCAAAGGCCCTGTGGCAGTGGCCTTGGGTGCATCTTGTCTCTGAGGCAGAGGGGGTGAGCTGTGAAGGATTGAGGGGTGGATGCAGGAGCCCTGGGTCGGGGCAGGGGGCATGTTGTGCAAGACAGTGAGGAGGAGCACTGTCTCCCACAGAGACTTGGCTGACAGTGGAGGCTGGGCCCCAAGGAGGCGCCCTCCAGTGTTGTGAAAGGAGCGGGGCGGGGCTGGCTGGAGAGAGGCCTGGGATCGGGGTGCTGGGTAGGGTGCCCCAGGCCCGGAGGGGAGGGATAGCCCACAGGGCCCTCAGAGCAGACCTAAAAGACTGAGATGGTGGCCTTCCTGTCGGGGGAGGAGAGCTGCTGGACAGTTGAGGGGTCCAGGAACAGCCCCCCTCACACCCTGTCCCCAGTGAGCAGGTCCTGCACCTGTGGCTGGAGGTGCTCTGCTCCAGCCTGCCCACCGTGGAGAAGTGGTACCAGCCCTGGTCCTTCCTGCGCAGCCCCGGCTGGGTCCAGATCAAGTGTGAGCTCCGGTGAGGCCTGGCCCAGGCCCTGGTGGGGAGCGGCCCTGGGATTCGGGAACAGGCAGGGTGGGCCGAGCTGACCTGGGGGCAGGGAGTCCCTCATCTCCACCTTCCTCACCTCCAGCGTCCTCTGCTGCTTTGCCTTCAGCCTCTCCCAGGACTGGGAACTTCCTGCGAAGAGAGAGGTGGGTAGTCTTGGCACGTGCTTCCCTGAGGGGCTCTAGTGGGCCGGGTAGGTGGGCTCCTGGGGCAGGGCCCCTCCCACACTGGGCTTCCATGCTCTGTGCTCCCTGAGGCCCTTGAGTAAGGGGCCATCCCTGTGTGCAGGAGGAGAAGAAGCCCCTGAAAGAGGGTGTTCAGGACATGCTGGTGAAGCACCACCTTTTCAGCTGGGACATAGATGGGTGACGATCTTCCTCCAGGGGCCCTGCCAGGCCCAGGCCTCCCCTCAACCCGTCGGCTACCGAAGCGGGCCCTTCCCTCAAGCAAGAAGAGAAAGCTCTGCCCTGACCAGTCTCCGGCTGCTTTGGGACTGGGGCTGAAGCTGCCTAGCCGCCCCAAGCTGGGGGGTGGGGGGGTAAAGGGGGGGTGAGGGTCAAGGGAAGGAGACACTCCAGAGCCCGGGCCCATTGCCCGGACCCCCAGAGCATCGCTGGAGGCAGTGACTGGCGGAGGGCAAGTGCCAGGTGGCCACGAGGCAGGAGCAGAAGGGGGTACCTCGCTAGGCCTGTTCCCTCCTCAGTGCGGAGGGCTCTGCCCGGGTCCTCAAGGACAGACACCAACCAAAACGGTGTGAAGAGGTGGAACGCCACCTCTGTCAGTCTTTGCTCAGGAAGGGGGTGGGTGGGGCTGAGGGCTCCTTGGCCTGTAAATAAACTGTCTTTGAGAAAGGGCCTCCTGGCTTTTGTTGGGCCAGGACCTCGCCTGTCCTGGAGCACAGCCTGGGGGCATCGAGTCCTGTACGCGGGCCCCTCCCTCAGCCTGCATGAGCTCTGGGCCTGGTGCAGTAAGCGCACACGTGGCCCGGCTGCACTACCACCCGCGCACAGGTCCAACAAGATGGACTGAAGCCAGCCGGTATTTTTGTGTTTATTTTAAAAAGTTCACACAGCTTCCCCAACTCTGTCTCGGCACTTGTTTTGGTGACTGACTCCATCCCTAAGCCCCCCTGAATGACAAGCCAGACGGTCAAGGCAGGAGGCTGCCCTAGTTTCTGGCCCACACTAGGGCTGGGCCAGCAGCGCCCTTCTGTCCCGGGCTGAGGCTGACTGACTGATGGTGGCTGCAGTGGGGCAATGGGAGGGGACATGGGTGGGTGGAAGACTGTGGCAGGAACAGGGCCAGGAAGCAGGACAGATGCAGCAGGTGTGGCAGGGTGGCTACATGTCAAACACACGTGATGGGTGGGCCTGGGCAACTCCACGCCAGGCTGGGGCAGGACCATGTGTCACAGCTTGAGGTGACCCTGTGCCCAGCCCTAGCAGCCACGGCCTCCAGGCCCATCTGTATGTGCAGAGCAGGATGGGAGGGAGCTGCACCCGCCTCCCACCCAAAAGAATGTGTATATGCATGTTGATATATTATATAGAGGTATATACACCTGTACAGAAACCTTTTGCCACTGAACACTAAACGGTTACACTGTCCAAGACACTCAAATGGCAGGGAGCCCCCTGGTGGCAGCCTGGGAGCCCTGGGGTTGGCTGACAGGAAGGAGAAGCCCAGGCTGGTTTTTCCCCTGGGAGGGAAGAGAAGGCAGGGAGTGAGCCCTCCACCCACCTCAGCCTCTCCTGCCTTAGACAGTGGCACCTCAGACCTCAGAAAAGAAGGTCACGCTGAAATGCCTGGCGCAGGGACCCTCTGCTCAGCCTCCCAGGGAGGGGAAGCAGGAACTGTGATTGTCAAGACTTCACAACCACACGGAGGTGGAACCAGGCCAAAGGGGGGCCGTGCCATGGAAAGCCCCGGGCACCCACCACCAGGCCCCTCCCCAGACCCCCGTCTCTTATAGCAGAAGCTATAAGCAGGAGTCCCAGTGGAGCTGCAGGTCATGGCCGTCGAGGAAGTCCGTGGAGAAGAGGCTGGGGGCCGTAGTGCTGAGGGGGGCCAGGTTCAGCACGGGGCCGCCCGACGACAGCTCCAGCCAGTCCATGCTGTCCAGGTGCCCGTCAGCCAGGTCAAGGCCCATGGTGCCGCTGGGCTCAGGCGCAAAGTGCAATTCCGAGGTGTCCATGGGCGAGGGGGGGTGGTCCAGGATGGCGGAGCTGCTCAGCATCTGGCTGTGGAGGTCGTCGATGAGGGACAGGGGCTCCGGGCCCTCATGCCCACCCGTCAACAGGGGTAGCCCTGTGCTGCTCTCCAGGAAGTCCTCCAGGCGCCCGGGGAGGGCGGGTGAGCCTGACGGAGGGGGCGCCGTCTGCGGGAGCTCGGCGCAGGGTGAGGGCTGTGTGGCCAGCGGGGAGGCGCAGGCTGCCGGCATGGGGGACTTCTCCTTCCCCGACAGGGACGATGGCTCCTTGAAATCTGCTGGAATTTCTGCCAACCAAGGAGATAACAGGGTCAGAAGGTGGGCCAGGCTCACTCCTTCCCTCTCCTGCCCAGCTGACACTGAGCCCTTTTGACGAAGATGCTGCAGGCCCCACAGCTCCATTCCAAGCATCTCCTCCTGGTGGCCCTGCAACCTCTCCACCACTTCTCAGTGCCCCCTTGGGAGCAGGCAGCACTCATCTCCCTTTCTCTGTCATCCCCTAAACATCTGCCAGAGCTCAAGGCCTCCTCCGCCCTTCTCGCACTTCCTCTTTGCTCCCCAGGCGGCCTCATCACTCCCATAGTTTCCACCCCATCTGGGCACTGGACATGCAGGCGCGCCACTCCTGAGCTCTGGACCAGCCCGTCCACTGCCCGGAGCAGCCCCAGTGCTGAGGTTTCAGAAGGCCCACCGACAGCCGCAGCAGCACCCGCGCTACGTGCGACCCCAAGACGCACGTAGACCCGCCATCTGCCTCTTAACAAGCTGAGGTGTTGAGTAACAATAGCTACTGGGTGCTGCTTTTTTTTTTTTTTTTTAAACTAAAAAACGAATACAAACAACAGTCATGTATCTGGGTACACTGCTTCAATAACAAGCATAATCTTAAACAGAAAATACAGTAACTGCCTTCTCTATTCCTACTGCTACCATCCTAGTCTAAACTATTCCTCATAACTGGATCTCTCTCCCTTTCTCTCAATTCTGTCATCGAAGTTGGAGTGCTTTCTATGTGCAAGAAGCAGTGCCAAATCCTGAGGACACAGTGGGGCCAAGAGGAACCTAGTCCTCAAAGCACTGAGTTTACTGTCTTCAGGGATGACCAACACTTGCAGGTAACTGTAATTTGGTTAATCTTTTTATTTTATTTTTTTTGGAGATACAGCTCACACAGCATAAAGTCTCCATTGTAAAGTGTATAATCGTGGTGCGCCCACTCTTCCTCCGTGCATTGTTCTTGTGCGTTACATGCTCGAGCCTATCAAACCCTTAAACAGGCCCCAGGGGCTGTGCTCATTACGTCCCGATAACTGTCCAATCCTCATCTGGCGCCACCGGCTGGATCCTGCCCAGACCAGAATTCTTCCCTCTGACCTGTCCTCCAACTGTGTCCCTTCCTGTGACCCTTCATGCTGGACAGGCCATCACGTCCCATCTGGCTGTGGAAGCCAGAGCCCTGGGATCACTGCTGACCCCTCAAACAGTCGTCACCAGGGTCATCCCCTGGTTCTGCTCCAGACGCTGCTCAAGTCCCTCACATCCCCCCCACTGCCACCTGCAGTCCTACCTGATACTTGGGGCACTGTCACCTGACTTTCCTTCTCGTCTTGCCACCTTCTGCCCCAAACTCTCCTCTGCCTCAAGACCTTTAGCAAGTCACAAAGGAGACCATCTCCCTCCTGTCACCTCCCTGCCACGGCCCCCACGGCTGCCCTGAGATCAGTCTAGACAACACCTGGCCGCCCTTCCAGTGCCTTCTGCCAACAGCCACCTGGAGCCCCACCCCATGCCAGCACTTGGGGCTTGACTCCTGTCCGTCTGTCTTGCTTCTCCAGGATTTTTCATGCTTTGCCCCTCTGCCCAGATAGAACATTCTAAACCCCTGTCCTCACTGGAAAACTCTTACTCCTCCTAAAGGCCCGTCCTGAACCCCCACATCTGGATGGGGTCCCGTCCTGTGAGACCCTGTGCGCAGCCTGCCCCTTTATCGTAATAACGAGAATGCATTAAAAACAGGAACAAGAAAGCTCGCGGCCGGCCCCTGTCCGACTCTCGTCTGCTCCGCTCACTTGGCCCTCGGGCAGCCAGGCACGTGCAGGTTACAGCCCTCACCTGCAGCATCTGCTCAGTGAGGCTGACCTTGGCCCTCCGCCCCCATCCCCACGACCCTTCCCCTTCTCTGCTTGTTTGTCACATGTACTCCTTTCTGACATGTAATTTACTGTGTTATGTTGGAGCTCCACAAAGATGAAGGTCTCTATTTTGTTTGCTAGGACGGCCCAGCACCTAGAATGGTGCCCCCACACAGAAGGTGCCGATAAGGTGACCGATGTTGAGGACACCCCTCTTCTGAGCCCTCTTGCCAGGCCTGGAGGTAGGGCACATGTCTCACTCAGTGGCGTGTCCCAGGTGCTTACTGTGAGGTTTGCTAGTCAGTAAGTGCTCAGTATGTGCATGCACACCAAACCAGCCAGCCTAGGCTGAGTCCACCTGTGGGGGGCGGCAGGAGTCTGGGATTTACCTCCACTCTGAATAAGAATGTCAAACAGGTCATCCATCTGCTGGCTTGAGGAACCATTTTCCTGTGGGACAAAAAGAAAAAGATGAGGATTGGGAACAGAGCCCAGGTACCTTCTCTCCCACGGTGATGTAGCCATGCCCGAAGCTCTGATGCTCTCCTGCCCCTCAGGCCCACCCCCGCAAGGCCTCTGCCCCAGAGGACAGCTGCCCGCCCTCAGTCCTCCAGCAGCCTAGCGCAGCCATCCACCCTGGCCAGGCCCCAAGTCCACCCTCTTCACCTGCTGTTTGGGCTGCTGGTTCACGGCCTCCTCGTAGCCAGGTGGCTCCTTCTTCAGCAGAGAAGTGGGGGGCCCAAAGAGGGGCTGCGGTGGGGGCTCCAGGTCCATCTGGGCTGGTGGGCCAGGGGCCGGAGATCCAGGCTGGGACAAGGGCTGGACAGGAAGGTTGGGAGAGAACAGTGGTTAGGGGTGCAGACCTGCCTGGGGGAGAAGTAGGGAAGTTGCAGGGACAGGCCCCTCCCTGCACTCCAGGAGGCAAGGGGCAGGCGCCCCCTTCTGGCCAGGCCGACTCTGCTGGCTCCTTCCCAGGAGTTCTCCTGGCTGCCACTGGGGAGGAGGGTACAGGACATGGAAGGCCTCGGCCTCTGACCCTGCAGGCACGGGGTGACCTGGCTTTGGTACCCACCACACAGGGAGAGGAGGGGCCCCTGGGCTGAGTCCTGCCCCCAGCTAAGATGTCTACATCCTCCTTCTCTGAGACTGCTCAGGGTCCCTGTCTCCCATCCTCAGGGGCCTGGCTCCTCTCTCAGCCTCTCTCTCCTAGCTCCACAGGTCTGAGCACACAGGGTATAAGAGGGGCCTCCCCTGTGGGCCAGGCTGGGCAGAGGATCTGGGCTGTGAGAGTAGCAGCAGCAGCAAGCCAACTGCCAGTGACACTGGTGGGAGGACAGCTGGCCTGTCTGAGAGGGAGAGGAGAGGAGCTAGCACCAGGCCTGTCTGGCAGCCCCAAGCTGGATACTTAAGTCAGACACCGAGCTGCAGGCTCTCACCAGGGCAGGCTCCTCGCTTGGCCTGGGCCCAGCGAGGGTGGCTGCACCTAACGAGTGGTGGGCAGCTGCACCTGGTGAGGCTGTCCAGGTGCACACATGTTCTGTATTGACAGCCAGAGGTCAGAGGGGCCCTGGCCTTCAGGGCTGTGGGTCTGAGCTGGCCTCGACTGTCCTGTGTCTTCACTGGTCAGATGGGGGATGCCAGGCCCTCCCTCTAGAGGGTGCAGAGAAGATTAAATGAAGCAAACACAAAAGGTGGGCACGTGGGGGCACTGGGAAAGGGGGCTATCACTAGTCCACGTGTCTTCACACTGCCTGGCCCCACTTCCCCCAGCCCACGTACCTGCTGGGGGCTCCCACTGGGCAGGCCAGGGCTGTCTGCATTGTGATTGGTCACAGTGAGCATGAGGTGGGTCCCAGTGGAGTCAGTGATGAGGGTGGGAGGTGTAACCCCCTTGACGAGGCCAGAGCCCCTTGGGGCCAGGAGCAGCTTCGGGGTGGGCACTGGTGTGGGCTCAGGCAGCCCGGCTTCCTGCTTCACCACCACAGCTTGGGGTGCAACAGCCGGGGTGCCAGTGTCTGCGTGGTCGGCAGTGGGGACAGCCAGGCTGGGGCTGAAGGGGTGTGTGGGGCCCGGTGGCAGCTGGCTAAGCTGACAGCTGGTGAAGCTGCTCTCCTGCTTCACAGTAGTGGCAACAGTGCTAACGGTGGCCGGGGCCGGGCTGGGGCCAGGCTGCTGGGCCCGCTTCTCCTGCTCCAGCTGCAGCCGCAGCCGCTCCACCAGCTGCTGCTTCTGCCGGAGCATGCGCGTCAGCTCCTCAATCTGCTTGTCCTTCTCCTGCAGCATCTGGTCCTTGTCGCGCCCCTCCAGCTCAGCCCGCGCCCCTGGGCTCAGGCAGCAGGCGCCGGCCCGTGGGCCCTCCTCTTTCATGAGGATTTGCAATGGCGAGGCCTGCAGTGTTAGCTGGGTCAGGGGAGATGTCACCATCTCGCCAAAGGTGTCCCCGGTCGTGGAGTTCTCGTCGCCTGTGCTGAGAAGGGAGCGCTCTGAGGGAGTGGGAGACACTGGGGGTGTGGAGCCCGTACTGCCGAATTTCACCACTCCGTTGCTGGTCACCGTGGCCACCACCACCTCTGTGGGAGCCAGGCCTGCTGCCACCAGGGCTGGCCCCGTGCTCAGCCGGGCCGCTGGGAAGGCTACCACCACCTCCCCAGCCTTGGGCAGGATGGAGGCAGCAGCGGGGGCCTTGGGGGCCCCCTGCGCAGGGCTGATTTGGTCTTGGTAGGCACGCAGGCGCTCAATCAGGTCAGTCTTGGTGCCTGAGACAGGCAGTGATCGCAACTTGAGCTCCTGCTTCAGCTCCGCCACCTGCAAGGGATCAAGAGCCAGGTCAGCAGGGAGCCCTGGGCCTTGTCCAGGCAGTGGGTGCTGACAGCTGGACAAAAGGAACTGGGTTCAGCCAGGAGGAGAGTCTGGGAGAACGGGACAGACAAGCACATTGTCCATTAAGCCTTGTCCATGCCAGGCTCCACTGGCCACTGGACATCAGCGCCCCCATCCTCCCACAGCCCCGGGAACAAGCCATGCACCGCTGCCCACCTCCTCCCTTTCCCTATCCGCACCACACTCCAGGTCCTAGTTGAAATGCCCACTCTGGCTGCCAGCCAGACTGTCATGGCTACAGCTATCCCCGCCCCCCGCTCCCGGCCTGGTGCTCAGGCATGTTTAATGGAACTGAGTATGTTTTACAGAGAAAATTGAGCACACCAACATAACGTAATGCCTCCAGGATCGTACAGCTAGTGAGGGGCAGAGCTGGGCTGCAGGCAGTCCAGGCCTGAGGGCCAGCATCATGCCCAGCTGCCTCCACGAGCCTGAGTCTCTGCTGGGATTCAGATCAGGGCCCAGGCAGGGTCTGCCTGTCTGGAGGCCCAGCCTTGTGGGGAATTTGGTCCACTCATCTTCTGGTCAGACAGAGACCCCAGGCCTAGGACCCAGCAGCTGTGCAGCAGGTTCCGCGGGGCATCAACTGGTAGAGTGGACAGTGTGGGGGTGCTGAAGGTGGACAGCCCCAAGTCTGAAACCTGGCTCTATCATGGGGGCTACTCTACCTCTCAGTGCCCCAGTCTCCCCTTCCTAGAATGGGGTATTACCCCCATTTGTAGTACTGCACCGCCAAGGTCGAGGGAGAGAAGAGGCCTGCTGTGTGAGCCCCAAGGTCCTGGACAGACAGGACAGTGATGACAAGACAGGTGCAGCCTGGACAAACAGCCTCTGTCTGATGGAGGCCCGAGTTTGGAGCCCTGTTTGTCCCCAAGGGCTGGGGGTCCAGGGCCCACTGATTTCCCAGCCTCCAAGCAAGGTTCCCAAAAAGCCCCTGTGGGAGGGGCCAGCCACCTGCCTTCATCTCGTCCAGGTTGGCGGGCAGGGCCCCCGGCTTGCCCGGCTGTGAGATGCTGTTCTGACGCACCAGCCCACTGGGCCCAGGGGCACCCGAGCTGGAGCTGCTGCTGGTCGTGGAAAGGCTACGCACTGGGGGGGCCCCATTGCTCCCCAGAGTCTCCACTGCTGGCCTGGGAAGAAGGAAAGGCAGAAATGAGTCCCTCAAACTCCACCTCAGCTGCTGCAGGCAGAAGCCAAGAGCCTGGGCCACGGAGTAGCCTTGCCAGGGACACCTGTGGAATCCACACCAGGGGTCCTTTGAAGTCACCCCCACAGACCTGGCACCAGCCGACCTCAGGGCAGTGACGGGTTGGGTAAGGGTGGGCAGGGCGAGTGGGCTCCTATTTTGGCAGGGCAGCAATGCGGCAGGGAACGGGCAGGCTCCTACTTCTGCCGGACAGCAATGGGGCAGGGTAGGCTCCTACTTTGGCGGGGCAGTGACAGGTGGGGCAGGGTGGGCTCCTACTTTGGCGGGGCAGGCAGGATGGTCTGGTAGTTGTAGTGCTGCTGCTGCTGCTGGTTGAGGATCTGGAGCTGGAGGAAGAGCTGCTGCTGCTGGAGGATCTTGGCATAGGAGGAGTCCATGGGGGGTGGCCCCTTGTCCTGCTTTTGGTCCGGGGGGATGTACTGATGATACTTGAGCTTCTTCACCTTTGGCTTCAGCTCCTTGGCCTTCTTGCTGCGCTGCGACTTCTCGCTAGCAGACTTGGGTTGGCTTTGCTGAGGGGGACAGAAGGCGTGTCAGGGGAGGCGCAGGCTTCTTGCGGGGGTGGTCCAGGAGCAGGACAGCCCTCCCTCCCGTGTCAGGGTGGCTGAGAAGGCCATTCTCCACCCTGCCCATTCCACTCTTCCCTCACTGGGCTGCATCCCTCCAAAAGCAGAGGTCTCCTCAGTGCCCAGAAGTGTGCCAGTGGGGAGTGACAGGGGGACGTCAGAGGGGCGCCACGTATGTCCGATCTTAAAACGGCCCCAGCTCAGAGAGACCATCAACCACACAGTCACAGGCATCCCCACGTGCCTGGCAGAGTGGGCACAGCAGGAGGTGCCGTGCTTGACAGGAGCTGGACCTGCTGTGTCGTGCAAACCTCGGAGAGTCCTGCCAGAGCAGGAATGACCATGGCCACCCGAAAGTGAGAAAACAACATGAAACAGCTCTGAGAAGTCACTGGCCTCAGCTCACCAGTGACCCTGATCTGACCATGTGAAGAAGCTGGGGTTGGCCCAGGTTCCATAAGCCCATACTCACACACCAAGTGCTCCTGCAAAGGCTCCCTGCTGGATAGCATGGAAGGCTTCACACAGGGCTGTGAGGCCAGAGAGGCCCAGGCAGACAAGAAGCGGCCAGCGGGTCATGTCCCTGGGTCAGGGGACGGCAGAGCAGGCCAGGGGGCAAGTGCTAGCAGAGGAGTGCCAGGAAGGACTGTAAAGTTTCTGAACAGCCTGGTGGGTGGACAACATCGAGGGTGGCGATGTGACGCAGGGGACGGTCAGGGTCTCAAGCAGGCGGAGGTAGGTCTGAAGGCAGGGTCTGGGCAGGGGTAACCCACTGGAGGAAGAGCTGACAATGTGGGCAAGCGGCAGGTGAGGAGTTCTGACAGTTGGTCACTGTGAACACAGTGGAAGGGGCAGAGTGTGGAAATGGGATGAGGAAGGCAGATCTGCTGAGACAGTGCAGTCAGAACCCAAGTGGGTGAAAACAGGAGCAGGCAGAGAGGGCGACAGACCCATGGGGAGGAAGGTGATCTCAAGGAGACTAAGGGCAGAACCTGGGGAGCACCCCACCCTAGAAGGGAGGAGGAAAAGGAGCCCAGGAAAGAGCGGCTGCCACAAAGAGAGGAGCAACCACAGCAGGAGAGGCGCGCGATCGTCCCAGGGAGGACTGAGGCAGCTGACCAAGAGTGGGGCTAGGAGCTCCAGGAGGCTGAAACAAGGCCCAGGCAAGGGAAAGTCCAGACCAAGTGTGGAGAAAGTGCTCTTTTAAACACGTAGTGTCAGAGGAAGCAAACAGGAGTGTGGCGAGGAGCAAGTCTGAAGAGGCATTTCGGGGGACAACCTTTGACCCTCCAGTGAACAGTAAGGAAGAGACTGCAGAAGCAAAGGAGGTGCCCACTACTGAGGCGATGTCCTGGAGAAAAGTGGAGCATGCCCAGAACACAGCAAGGCTGGGGAGGCCCCTCGCTGCCCCTGGCCTGGAGAAAGGATGTCCCCACCGGGGGCTGGGGGAGTGGCACACACTTTCTGGCATGGAGCAGGGAGAGTCGATAGCCTCCGTGGAAATGCCTCACATGCAGACAGAGGAGTGAGATAAGGGAGGGAGGGGCCGTCCCACAGGAGGGAGCAACACGAGCAGAACCAGGTCAGCTCCAGAGCCACAGCGAGGTCTCAGCGAGGATGAGAGAACATGAGTCTGGAGGGTTCCCAGGAACCTGGAACTCGTGGTGAGAGGAGAGGACCTGTGATGGCCGGGGAGCACGTGGGGAGGGAGCCCAGAGAACAAGCAAGCCACTGCTGAGAGGATGACAAAGCCAAGTGGGAGAAAGAGAAGTCAGTGGCCTGCCCGGCAGAAGCACAGGTGGGTGTGTCCTGGAGGCTCAGGTCAAGGAGCTCCTGGGCTGAGGTGGCTCCAGGGCAGGAGGGCCACTGAAATGACCGCCTGACCCGTCTACCTGCCGAGGCCACCAGTGAGAGCTTTGTGGGCTGGTAGTTAAGCACCCTTCAGTTACTTCAGGTCAGACCTTCGAGGAGGAGAATAAAAAACACCACCCGAACGTGCCGCTCTGACTCCACTGCCTCACGAGGTTTTCAGGGCCTGAATGAGAACATGTGGATTTTGCTCATGGCTGAGAGGAATGAGCGTGCAGAAAACCCAGCCCAGTGCCTGGCACACGGCTGCTCTGACGGTGGGGGCGCGTGTTCCCTGAGAAAGGAGAACACGGCAGATATTCCAGACTCTGTGTTGCACCCCACCCTCTGCAGTCAGCCCTGCAGCAGGAAGGCGGTCACAGTGGCTTAGAGGGCGAAGGGAGGGGGGCACAACCCCTGAGAGAACTGTACCTTGATGAGTGTCGGGGTTGACTTGGCAGTGGGGACAGCGGTTCCATTGGTGAGGCTGGGAGCCAACAGAGGAGGGGGCGGTGGAGGCGGCTGCTCTGCCAGGAAAAGGGTTTCTCTGGAGTCGGGGCCCGTCGGCAGTTGGGACACAACCTGAGTGGGAGAGGGGAAGTGAGGCTGCAGAGCCACACAGGGCACAGGCCACTTCAAGGTGGTGGAGGCAGGGGTCCTATACAGGAGGCGGGGGTGGCAGTCACCTCTCGGGATGGCATCAGTGTCAGAGGGCCAGTGACAGGCAAAGCCCAGGGCTGAGAGGAGCCACCCCCAGAGTGACAGAGGGAGAGGCAGAGGGTGGTAAAAACCTTGCTGGGCTGAATAAAGTCAAGAAAAGCTGATGCTGGAATGAATGAAAATGGGGGCAGGCCGGCTAAGCCCACGGGCCCAGTTTAAAGGCAGCCTGAGCCGGTGTCCTCTAGCTAGGCCCTCAGCTGGCTCAGGCAGGCTCAGGCCGGCCCAAACTGCATGCAACGAAATGGGGCCCACTGCCAACATCTCCCTCCCTTCACTGGGACTCAAGCAGCTGGTGCCCGAGCTACTACGGCACCCTGCTTCCCTGCGCCAGAGCAGGGGTGGTTCACCAGCCCAGACCAGAGACTTACTTCTGGGGAGCTCGGGGAGCAGGGGAAGCCTCTGGAAGCAGGTGAGCTCACCTGAGTAGGGGAGAGAGAGGTGGCACTGGGCAGTGGCTCGCTGACTCGGGCTTCCAGGGGAGATGGCACGGAGCCCTGGGACTCGTGGCTGGCAGGTTGCTCGGGGGATAAGGCATCACTGCTGTCCTCATCGAAGGAAGAGCTGTCCACTACTTTCGGGTAGTTCACCTGGCCGACTGAAACCCAAAGCCAGCGTGAGACCCCACTTCCTGCCCCACATTGGGTGAGCGGAGAAAAGGCCTCGCTCACCAGCACAGTGCCCGTTCTGCCCCCACACCTCAGCAGGCCTCGGACTCCGTCCCCAGAGCTCTCGGACAGCCCGCCCTCAAGACCAGGAGCAAAGGCCAGAGAGACGTCTGTGGGCCATCCGCACACTCTCCCTTTGCTTTCAACTCTTACCTCACTTAGTCTTGAGTCAGGCTCTACCCTCCTCCCGCCCTGGGAGACCCCGCTGCTCCCCCATCTGTTTCCTGCTGTTAAAGGTCCTTCACTTCCACCCCTGGCTGCAGAGAACTCCCCTGCGGCGTGGGCTCTGCCCCTGCTGAGAGGAACTAAATGAGCACGACTCCTGGTCGACCCCCCAGAGGCCGGGACCAGAGTCAGGAGCCGGGCTCTGAGGCCGGGACAGAGGGCATCCCAGCAGAGGCCTCCGACTGTGCCTGCCCTGCCGTGACCCCCATCAAGCCTTGGGTGTGCCTGAGTGGTATCCTCCAAGGTTGCAGGCCAGGCCAGCTGGGAGGGTGAGCAGGCGGGGAGGGGAAATCCAAGGACCAGGAGGAAGAAAAGGGGAACAGGGAGCCTGGGGAAGACCTGCAGAGGCCAGTGGGACATTTCAAAATATCCATGTTATAACCAGTGCCTCTGCAGGGGAAGAGGGTCTGCTTTCCACAGCAGGAGGAGTGGAACCCACAAGTGGCCAAGGCCCCCAAGGTGCGCAGCTCCTGACCGGCCGATGGGAAACCTGCCCTGGGGGAAGACTGCAGATATGGAACAGGAAAGGGTGGCTCAGCCTGGGTTGGCCCTGCAGTGACTCCCAGCAGCATCCTCCTGCCAAGGGCTGTGACCTGAGGCTCCTTCCTCCCCTGGAAGCGCACCCCCACCTGTACACGCATGCACAGGGGGACAGAGCTCACTGACCACTGCGGGCTTCTCATCACTCAAACATCTAGGTGGTTTCTCACAATCTCTACACCCAGCGGCGGGGGGGCCCACGGAGAGGGGCCACCTCCCAGCACATTAGGGTGGCAATCCAGGACAGAGGTGTAGCGGCTCCCACCCAGCCCATTTGCCCTGAAGGAGCTGCTGGCAGGACCAAGAAGGCCAAGGACTGTGCCTGCGGCCTCTCTGCAGACCCGTCTGTCCACTGTGGGCTGGGCCGGATGTGGAAACGCGGACTGTCCCTGCCCCCGGGGAGTTCACGTGCCAGTCCCAGGACCGCTCAGGAGAGGCTGGGGAGATGGCCTAGAGGAGAGGAGCCTGATGTGAATCCTACAGATCAACCGGAGAGTCTGGAGACAAAGATGCATGAGCGGGTATGGGTGTACGCATATGAGTCCATGGGAGGAGTGTGCAGGCAGGTGGGGAACAAGGCCTCCCTCTCAAACCGCCCTACTCTCAGCAGGCCTCAGAACTCAGTCTGTCTCCCTTCTCTGCCACCCACTTCCCGCCAGCACCCAGCTCTGCCTCCTTCCCCTCTCTCCAAGCTAAATCTCCATCTTAGCCCCACTATCAATGTCCTCCTCCTCCTGTGAACATGTCAGCCACGACTCCTCTCCTCCTCTCTTCTGCCATTGCCTTGACCTCCCTCCTCCTCAAAGTCCTTCCCACCCCAGCATCGCCTCTCCTCCTCCTCACTCCCCCACTCCTCCTCCTCACTCCCCCACTCCTCGAGCAAGATCTGGCTGAGGCTGGCGAGTGCTCCTTTCCCGAGGATGCTTCCATGCTCTGCCTGGCCGCCGGCCCCCACCCACGTCATTCCCTCTGCCTCAATGTCCTTCTCCAAATGTGCTATGTCATCTGTGGGGCCTTCCCAGCCACCGCGAGCCATCCCTTCTCAGCTGGGCTCCCAGGGCACAGATACCATAGCCATCAGGGCCATCATTAGCTGGCCTGTAATTAATCTTATAATATAACCTTACAGTAGCAGCAACCTCCTGTGGAGTCTCCCCAGGCGCCAAGGACCGTGTGGGCCCATATGTCCACGTGACCCTGAACACTGTCCCACGAGGCAGGGGACTCAGCTCCCAGGTCCCAGGCCATGGCCCTTCTCTACACAACACTGCCCCGAGTGGGAGCCAACCCAGAAGCCATTTATCTGTCACCGGTCTCACATCAGACTGTGTCTGTCATGTCTATTCATCTTGGTTAACTTCAGGACTTCACACGGGGCCTGGCACGTGCCAACTCTCGGCTGACATTTAGCAGATTGCTGGCTGGCTGCTGAGCCCAGAACTGACCTGGCTCAAGCCCTGGCCTGTGACTGGGCACTGCCACGGAATCTGGGGGAGATCTGGTAGGAAAACGCCGAGAGGAGACAGGACGAATGCCAGGGCCAGTCCGTGGACGAGGGCACCGGGGTGTCCCCGTGGGCTCCAAGGGTGACCGCACTGAAGTGGGGAAAGGGCTGCTAGGGGCCCAGGGCGTGCCAGCCTCCTGCGCTAACTATCCAACCCCATTTTGCACCGCAGTCTCCTTGAACCAGTCTCCTGACTTTGCACGCTACGGGGCCTGCTCCAGTGGGTCCCCTCTCACGTCCTACCCAACAGTGTGACTTGTCAGCACAGTGGGAGAGTTAAGCCTCCTCTTCTCTATGGTGCAGCTACCTCCTTGAGGGTACGAAGGCCTGGCCACATGCAGGAGCAGGTCTTGGGCCTACTGCATTCAGGGAGACATGTCTGCACCAAACTTCAAGCCAAATCTAAGCAAATCAAGTCCGAACGCCTTCCCATAGCACACCAGGCCCTGCACCTGGTCCCTGTCCACCTCTCCTGCCTCGTATCTTGTCACCCCCTCCTTCCAGCTCCCCCGTGTGGTCACAGTGAACGACCTCGGCCCGTGGAGTGCCAGGCTCCTTCTCATCTCGCCCCACACAAGTGGCCCTCCCAGCCTGGATCTCTCCTCCCCACCAAGCACAGCTTAGCTAATTCCTGCTCCTCCCTCAGCCCCAGGCTTGGGTGTCGCCCACCCTCACAGTGCCCTGCGCTGCCTCCAGCATTCCTCTGCCTGTTTACCTGCTGTGCCCTCTCCTGGGTGTAAGCTCTGTGGGGCGGGGGCCGGGTCTGTATGTGGGGCTGCGGGCCTAGCACCTAGCACACTGCTTCAATCAGTACATTTTGCTGAATGAAATATCTGTCCAAAGCGCCAAGCTCCAAGAAGAACTATCATGAGTAAAAATAACGCATGATGTGCAAGTTTCTAAGCCCTGGCATCTCCGCCTGTTCCCACCTGCCAGTCCTGCCATCTGTAAGAGTAAGCCCCTGAGTTTACAGGTATGGATGGAGGGTGGGGAGAGACCTCTCTATTTATTATTTATTTGTGTGTGGGCTCTGATCCCCGAGGGCCTGGCACTATTTCAAGCTTAGACAACCTGCTCATCAGGCCCTCCCACACTGCGCCTGGGTCCCCCGAGGCTCAGCTGGAACCCTGGCCCAATTCTGCTCCAATCCTGGCTCCCCTCCCCCTGGCCTCCCAACCTGCAGTCCACACAGGCGGCCTCCTTACCGATGATGGCTTCCTTCAGGCTGGACTCCACCGGTAGGATGTTCTTCTCCACCAGCTCCATGGGGCCAGGCCTCTGTGCGATCTTCTCATTGAGGTCATCGGCCAGCCTGGCTCGCTTCAGCTTCAGCTGCTTGGCTTGGAGGGAAGGCTCCGCCGAGGTCTCTGCCAGGGAAGAGATGTGTGAGTGGACCTGGCTATGCCCTGGGGACTCGGAGCAACTCTCCTCCCCTCCCAAGAAGTCACAGACCCCTCAGAATGGAAAGCACATCCCAGGAGAAGGCTGGCCTGGCCTGAAGTTTTGTAAGAACAAAACGGGCTCCACCGTGGCAGTGTGCAGTCACACACGACAATGGTCACCAGCACAGGCCAGCACTGAGGACTTTCAGAGGTTGTGCTGCAGAGCTGAGTGAATAGCAGCAGGCAGAGTGGGCTCCGCTCTGCCCTGAGCTTGCTGTGTGACGGGGGGCAATGCACCGCCTGCTCCGGTGTCTTCATCTCCACGTGGGGGTCAGACGAGGAAAGCGCTCTTACAGCCCCAAATGCTCAAAACTAAACCAAAAAAGGATGGATGCACGCTGTTTCCTACACTAGAAACAGGGAAAGCCGTTTGAGACTGGGGTTAGGTGAGGCAGGTCTAGAGGACTTAACTTGTACTTCACAGGTCTCAAAGACCCTGAGTGAGTGAATGAGAATGAATGAATGAAAAAGAGAACGTAAACGCACTTTTGTTCACTCTCATGTGTTGTATAGTTCTAGAGGTTTTCACAAAGGCTTAATGTCATGAACCTGCCATTAATAAATGCACTATTAAAACGGATTTTGGAGGAGAGAAAGGATCTGCCCTGGGAGAAAGAAGAGACTCCGTAGTGAGGGTGGTGAGGTCCCTCAAATGGCTGTAGGAGAAAAAGCTAAGCCAACCCAAGAGAGTGTGACTGTGCATCTTTGGGAGTTGCCCAAAGCAGAGGAGGCCACCACAGCCCTGCTGCTGGACTGTGTTAAGACTCAGCTGTCTCCACTGCCAACAGCAATGAGGGTGATAAGACAGAGAGAGGAAGAACTGTGGGTGGTGCTGTGGTGAGAACAGGGTTTAGATGAAGCAAAGTGTTTTCAATCTAACACACCTTCCAAAATGTGCATCCTGACCAGCTCCGATCTCTCTGGCCGGGAGCGAATCTTCCGCTTCAGATAGTCCTCAGTCTACGGAGAAAACACACCAGGAAGCTCTCAGATCCAGGTTCCCGGCATGTGGCATGGACAGGGCTGCTAACGCAGCCTTGGCTGTGGTGGACGCTGCTAATCACCTCTGCATCCCCATGGCCTCTGCCTGTGACCGCGAGGTTCTGAGGCAGAAGGCGGCTGGGAGGCTCAGCCCAGGGAGGATGCACCGACTTCCAGCTGGACCCCAAGGCCCCATCCGTCTTTCAAGGCCTTTTGTCTGAGGCTGGACTCCTACTCTCTATATAAATGTCTGTTATTTTTCCTATCATAAAAGTAATGTATGTTCATCAAAAAAAAAAAAAAAAAACTAGAACATTAGAAGTGAAACAAAACAAAACAATTTGCAAATCATCCCCCATGAGTGTGCAGGGAAACTTGTTTCTAGCCATTCTTCCACGCAGGAGATAAGTCACTTTTGCAGTGCTGTAATCATACTTAATATAATTTTATATCCTGTTTTTAAAAATTTTGCACTGCATGACCTCATGAGCAATGTTGACTCAGTTTGAATGGCTACGAAATGGAACACTAATTCTCATACAGGGTTGTCATGGCTCTAGTTCCTCCCAGTCCAGTGTCCTCATTTCGGCATTTATTAGACTCCAGGTGAACTAAACTATCCTGTTAACAGTCAGAGAGCCACCACTGCCCAGGGCTAATTCTGGAAGGTGTTATCTAAGGCCTTATCTGTCTGACCCCAAAGCCTGTGCTCTTAATTCTGCAGCAGCATTTCTCAAACCACAGGACCACCATCAAGGGGTCAAGACCAGCATAGCATACATACGATAGAAAATAATATTCAGAGAAAGCTGCATGCAGTAAAGGTAAGGCTGGGCCTTCACCGTGGCCTCCTGCTGCTGTGGGGCCCTGATGGGCAGCTCTCCAGCAGACAGGTTAAAGCAGCTGTGGGCCCTGGCTCTCTCACACCAATCTGCAGTGGGCAGCAGTACTGCCTGGGCTGCTGTGAGTCTTCACAGACACCAGAAGGAGGTCTATTTTCTAAGCTGTCTGAAGCTCTGAACAGTGGCCAAGGGTGAGGCAGAATACAGTCATGATTAAGAAAACATCTGGAGTCCACAGGTCAAGGTTTGAGTCCCAGCTTTGCCACCTACTAGCTGGACAAGTTAGTTAACCTCTCTTAGCTGCATCTATAAAAGGAGGAGAATAGCACCTAACTCAGAAGAGCTAATGTGAGGATAGGATACACAAGAAATGGATATAACTAGCACGTAAAAGTGCTCAGTAAAACAGTAGTTGTTGTAATTAGGTATTATTTGCTCTGTGCCTTCTCAAGAAGCAGTCAAGGATGGTGCCAAGTTGTGAGATGGGTTGGGGCAGGACAGGCAATGCCATTCCTTCCCCTCCTCTGTATTCTCTAGTGCCCCGGCTGGCACGCTTAAACAGTGCCATTGGTTACTGCTGTTGCTCCCAGTACCCATGACTCATTCTTCCTACTCACTCTTAAGCATTAATCATGATTTTCTAAGGAAGATTTAAAAAAAAAACATAAGTAAAGTCTCAGAGGTAAGTATTTTTGAAATCTCTAAAAGCGTTGTGGGTCCTCAGAGAGTCACGGTCTCCATCTTCCATCTGAGGTGGTTCTCATCCCTTGTCTTTTATGTAAAAGCAAAAAGTGAAGAGGGTGAGAGGGGACGCATGTTCTGGTGACTTCCCCATCTCCTCCCACATTGGGCAGCAAAATATTCCCTAGAGTTCCCTGGGGGAAGTGAAACCCAGACGGGGGAGCTGCAGCAAGTGAGGTGCTGCAGCATGCAACCTGGGGCTAAGTGGAGCCCAGCTTCTGCTTTCCAAAGAGCGCAAGTGAACCTGGAGCTGCTCAGGGCAGGCAGAGTCCAGTTAGGTTTCCTGCCCCTTGGAGGTGTGAGCAGTGCTGCCCTGGACACAAAGGGGCCACCACTCGGCAAACTGTCCCATGGCTGGTGCTCGCAGGGTAACATCTATACAAGGTTTAGTGAAATTAAAGGTGGGGAAATACTAGTGGTCTAAAAGCAAGGCTCAGGGGAAGGAGGACTGGGCGGTCAGTCCATATCCCTAAACATGCCGAAGGAGAAACCTCATTCTGGTCATGTTCTGTGGAATCACCCTCGGACATGACTGGCATGGGGATGAAAGTTCTACTCAAAACTGTGAGGCAGGGGCTGAGCCTAAAGCCAGCTACTGAAGGGTAACAGAATGAGCAATGCAATCAGCTCCAGGAATGCTCTCTGCAGGTCCTCGGAGAAAGAGTCCTTACCCTGGCCCGCTCCAAGCTCCTTCTCTGCTCATGAAATGCAGCTGGACTTTTCAAAGCTGTTGGGAGAAAAACCGTAAGAGAATGACTTTAGGTGAAGCATCATGTCAATGCTACAACTTATGGTGCAAAAGGCATTTTAAATTCAAGTTAATTTTAGCAGTACTATTAAAATCAGCTGGAGTGAAGGGGTAAATGGCACCTAAGAAAGCAAGTCTCTTTGTGTGCTCGCTGCCCCATTAAAACAGTTTGGGTTACTTTATGATTCCTAATGGGAACAGTCCCTGCCTAAGCTTGGGCGTTGTAAAGCACACTCATGGACTACAACTTAAAAACCACCCTGGCCCCATCCCTGGACTGCACTGCACAGCCTCATCGGTTAGCCTCTCAGGGCACTCGCCTGCTGGGCGCCGAGGAGGAGCAGAGCTGCATGGCAGGGGCGGGCTGAGAAGGAGCAGAGCTGCATGGTACGGGTGGGCATCGAGGAGGAGCAAAGCTGCATGGCAGGGGCAGGTGCCAAGGAGGAGCAGAGCTGCATGGCAGGGGCGGGCCAAGGAGAAGTAGAGCCGCATGGCAGGGGCAGGCCAACGAGGAGCAGAGCCGCATAGCAGGGGCACTTTCCTTCTCAAATCTCACTAGGAACCATTAAGTGACCAGAGTTGTTCTAACAGGGCAGCTAAACCCAAAAGACTTCTGTCCACTCAGGTGTCGCTTCCTTCCTCAGTCAGCAGATATTAATAGGACTGCTAAAATTAACTTGAATTTCATTTGGAAGGACTGAAGAACCTCACAGCAATGGGATGGCTGACCCTGGTGAACACACACCACTGGCCGACAACAGGACGGGCTCATGGAGGCCTGGTCGGGGACTCGGCTCTGCTCTAGGGACACTGCCACCCAGATCACAGCGCTCAATGCCGGCAAACAATGCAGAGGGGGAGGGCCAGGCCAAGGTCCTCCACAAATGCTGTACCACGAAGAGAGGGTCTGCCTCCTTCTGTCAAAACCTCAGCTATAAGGACAAATGATGATTTGGGACCCAGAGGATGAGGGGGAAAGGCCTAACTCACTTCAAGTAGGAAACAAGAGCAATAAGAAATCGACAAGACTGTGGTCAGTTTCACTTCTGCTGCCCTCCAACTTCAGAGCAGCTGTGAAACCGTGTGCAGAGATAACTTCTGCCGGGCTGACGGCTGTGGTATGAGCGCAGGGCTAAGGAGGCGCTAAAAGTAGCAAGAGCATAGATAGGACCCTATCCTGCCTGGGGCTCTGTGCTTCCTCTCCCCCTCCCCCCATGGGCTGGGCCTCAGCAACAGTAGTCTCAGAAGAAATGTCCCATCAGTATTTATTTAAAAATTTTTTTTTAATCATACAATAAAAAAACTACAGTCTTAAAGGCTCTGCTTGGAGCCCGTTCCATCTTCTAACGGCAGGGGGAGCTCTACATTTAACAAATAATCTCTAAGAAAAACCAGTCCAGGGCTCCTCCCCAGCCACCAGTAAGTAGCATGCCCAGGCACTAGCCAGGCCAGCCAAGCTCTAATGGGGGGCAGTGTTGAGTATTTCACTGGGCAAGAAGACATCCCTGCACCTACTAAGACTGTGGAAAGCTCCAAAAGCCCTGAAATGCAGGAACCTGTACTGGGTGTGCTGGACCAGCAGGGGATGAACAACACCTGGCTCTTGGAGAGCTTCTCTCGTGGATGAGACAATAGTATAAAGAATCTTGAGAAAATCTCCGCTCCTGCCCCACCCCAGCTTCCTGCCTTACCTTTCTCGAGAGCACTCATTACCATCTGCCATGCGTTACAGCCATGCTACATGTTTTTCTCGTGTTTACTGTCTGTTCCTACAATTCAAATTTAAGCTCCATCAGGGCACAGCAGGGGGTTTTCTCTTTTGTTTCTGGCAGGATCCCTAGTGCCTAGAGTACCTGACACAGTTCACACCCAATAAATAATCACTGAACCAGTGAACTGATGAGCAGTGTATAAGCGGTGGTGCAGTGATTAAGAGCCATGGCCTGCTAACCAAAAGGTCGGCAGTTTGAATCCACCAGCTGCTCACTGGAAACCATATGGGCAGCTCTACTCTGTCCTATAGGTTGCTATGAGTTCGAATGGACTTGCCAGCAACGGGTAATGTATAAGCAAAGGATACAACGTGTGCCACAGAGCTAGAAGATTCTGTGCTAGAGCTCTAGACATTCATTCATCTGAACAGCCAGGATTCTGGCTCTTGTCAAAACTTCACAGATGTCCTGGATAGAGAGTCAAGGGATCTGTGTTCCAGTCCTGGGTTCTACCAATTGCTTCTGGTGTGACACGGGGTATGGGTGCTCTCTGGGTGTCATTTTCTTCTGTAGACAAAGGGTCTGCCCACCTCCCAGAACTCCTGTAAGAATCAGTGAGACGGAAAGTGCTCTGAACCAGGGGGGTGCGCTCAGCAAGGTATTTACGGCTGGTGGCACAGTCTGCACTAAAACCGAAATGCTGCTGTGGAAGAAAGGCTTGGCAATCTACTTCCACAAGATTACACTTATTGAAACCAATGGAGTGCAATTCTACTCTGAAACCCATGGGGTCCCCATGAATTGGACTTGACTCTATGGCAAAAGTTTTTTTTTTTTTTTTGGTCCTCAAACATAATGATTTGATTGGATCATGGGTTCAATTCCCACACAGGCCACAGATTATCTGTTTAAAACCCTGGCTGGCTTGCTGCCTCAACAACCTATGCTAGGTATCCCAAGAGGTAAGGCACAAATCCAACTTACGGGAAAACAACTCACAGAGCACAGAATTTCTTGATGGAAGGGGAGTATACATCATCTTCATGTACAAAGCGTGGTGCATTACTAATGGGGGTAAAGATAGGTTATCTGGTTACAGAATATGTGAACTCCTATTTGGTCCCATTGAATTAAGGTAATTTTCATGTTAACAGGAAGGAAGAGATTACTATTTATTGAGGTGCCTACATATGTGGCAGGTACCGTTCTAGAAGTTTTAAACATGTTAGCTGATTTAAAATTGCTAATGATTTCATGTGGTAGGTAATACTCCATTTTACAGATGAGGACAGGCTTAGGCTAGGCTAGTAAGTGGCAGTTAGGATTACAATGTCATTCTGTCTCACCCTCAAGCCAGAGTTCTTCCCGCTCCTCTGGGTTGGTTTCTAAACTTTAAGGAACAGAGAAGAAAGAACTGAGTGGATGAGAAAGCAAGGTGGCTTCAGTTACACGCACCGCTTAGATGCAGACTGAGTCCAGGTAACGTGGAAAGGTCAGCTTGCCCACAGCACTGAGCACAAACAGGTGGGAGGACGGCTCAGATGAGGGGTTCAAAGTGGCTACGGGCACAGAAAGCCACGGTTAGAAACCTGGGGCCCAACGTGGAGCTAAACAGGTAGCCTTCAGCACTGATACTAGGAGAAAAGCAGGGAGGGGACGAGAAGGCCAGAGGAACTTGTTAGCTGTCAGGGACTGGTCAAGAGGCCCAGAAATGAGGGCTAAGAAGAGAAGGCAAGGTGATAATTACCAATCAAAAAAAACCCAAACCTGTTGCTGTCAAGTCGATTCTGACTCATAGCAACCTTAAAGGACACAGTGGTACTGCCCCATAGGGTTTCCAAGGAGCACCTGGTGGATTCAAACTGCCAACCTTTAGGTTAGCAGCTGTAGCTCTTAACCACTATGCCACCAGCGTTTCCAAAAGATTGGTTCATTTTATAATAACAATAATATCAACAATAACATCTCACTGAATTCTCTTAACAGCCCAGGAGGAAGGGCCTTCGATTCCTGTTTTATACATGATGAAACTAATGCTGGGTGAGATGCAGTAAATGGTCAGGTCATTCGAGAGGATGAATTGGACCCAGACCCAGGTATAGTTCTGTCTTACCCAGGTCTAGCTCTGTCTTACCCAGGTCTAGTTCTGTCTTACCCACGTCTAGTTCTTTCTTCCTTTGTGTAAACCTTTTGACAATGTCAGTTTCTCTCACTCCCTGAGGATCCCAACTCAGTTTGTGTTGCTCTTTCCCCATTTTGAATCCTGTTCTCAGCTGGCACGTTCGGCAATTTTAATAGCCACTTCTGACGGCTGAAAGGAGGAGGGAGCAATGGCCTCTCCTCCTTTGAGTTTCTGTTGGGTCCTCCTTCACTGATTCACCTGAGGAGTCTGGAGCTGAGGAAGCAAGGCTCTCGGTGCACTGGGGTTTGAGAAGCGAGGTTCCTCCTGTCCTTACTGTGTTACTGTGGATGGTAACCCAGCTAGCACAGTAGATGGAAGGGTGCTGCAGGTAAGCCCTGGGCTTTTGTCATGGATTGAGTTGTATCCCCCAAAAATATCTGTCAGCTTGGCTGGGCATGATTCCCAGTGTTGCATGATTATGTAATCTGGTGTGATTTCCTTATGTGCTGTAAACTCTATCATTATGATGAGATTATACATGATTTCCTTATGTGTTGTAAATTCTATCACTGTGATAAGGTTATACTGATGAGGTTGACAAGATTAGATAGTGTCTTAATGCAATCTCTTTTGAGATATAAAAGAGAGAAGGGAGCAGAGACACATGGGAACCTCATACCACCAAGAAAGCAGTGCTGGGAACAGAGCGTGTCCTTTGGACCTGAGGTTCCTGCGCCGAGATGCTCCCAGACCAAAGGAAGACTGATGCATCACAAAGACCTTCCTCCAGAGCCGACAGAGAGAAAGTGTTCCCCTGGAGCTGACGCCCTGAATTTGGACTTGTAGCCTACTGGACTGTGAGAGAATAAACCTGTCTTTGTTAAAATCATCCACTTGTGGTATTTCTGTTAGAGCAGCACTAGATGACTAAGACAGCTTTCTTGATGTAGGAGCCAACGGCAGTGTATTAGGCAAAATCACCTCAAGCTTCCAAGCTAAAGGGATGAGACACAAGGATGTAGAGCAAAGCAGAAAACGGCTTTAAAGTTTAGGCCTCTGCTAGTTGTGGAAAAAGGTGCCCTGGTGGCCAGGGCTTCCAACCTGGTTCATTCTGGTTCAAACCCCTGCTGAGAATTCACATTTCT